GCTGTAAAGAGTTGGACACGACTGAGTGACTGGAGTGAACTGAACTGAGCCATAAAACTAGACAAAATATCAAAACAGCCGTTTTCACAGAGTATAACTGGCAACAAGGCCTGGGAGCAGTGTGAGAAGAGAAACATATGAAGTGACCCCTAGGTTTGCTCTTCCTTTTTACCTGAGAGTACATATAAGGCTGAAATGGATGCATATGGAGCTCAACAAAGTTAAAAATCTTGTTGAGGAGGCAGAAATGAGTTTGGGGATCATAATATGTTTGGAATTTATGGGTCAGGGTAGTAAGAAAAAAAGAAAAAAATAAATATGCAAAGGGTCCCTGGATGTCTACATGCAGGTTCTCTGCCAATTCTTGGCTGAGGGTCACACTGTACACGGGCAGGGTAAACTCTGTGAAGCCCAGAAGAGTGTAGCTGCTGTGAGGCTGACAGGTAAATGGAGATCAGGAATTTGTGTAGGTATGAGGCTAGAGTTCTGACCCAGCCATAATGGAGACACCCCACCAAGGTCTTGTTTTTGTCTAAATACTATGCCTAAAGGCAAAGTTTTTGTCCTCAAACTAATATACATTGAAAAGTGATTGGTTCTAAAGATCAAACTGATCAGAAATAATCAAGGGGATCCACCAGTGATTTAATCAGAAAAATAATCTAACAGCATAATCTAAAACAGCATAATCTAGACTCCTATACCTTCCTCTCTGCTCATATGCAATAAATATTTATTAGGAATGCAAGAAATACCTAATGTGACCTATTATCAATAACAAAAGTAGTCAAGAGCAATTGACCACAAGGTATCTGAAATGTTGGAAATTGGACTTAGGATGTTATAAAAGCTATTATTAATATGTTGAATAATGTAAAGTTTAAAAAAGGCACAATCAGTGGATAGATGCAAAAATGCAGCAGAGAAATTAAACATATAGAAAACAATCAAATGGAAATTATAGAACTAAAATGGAAAATATTTGAAGGAAAAAATTCATTGGATGAGTGTGACAACAGATTAAAGACTGCCTGAAAACATCAGTAGATCCAGAAGAGAAGTAGGTAGAAATTATTTAATCTAAGGATAGTAGGAAAAAGTCACAATTAGAGATATAGATTTTAATTCTATCCACTCATAAATTTATAGAACAAGTAGAATGTCAATGAGAATATATAAAACCTGAACATCAACTAAATTGACCTAATTGACAACTATACAACATTCTACCAAACACATCTTTTCAAATATACGAGAAAGATTATCCAAGATGGAAAACAAGCTAGGATGCAAAATGAATTTAAATAAACTTCAAAATATTGATATCTTACAAGGTATGTCTTTTGCCCATAGGGTTTTAATAAAAATCAACTAGTAACATAGCTATAAAAGTCCCCAAATATTTGGAAATAAAATGATACATGTAAATAATTTATATGTCAAAGAAGAAATCACAAGAGAGATTAGAAACTATTATTATAAAAATACAGCACATCAAAATTTGTAGAATACAGTTTAAACTGTATTTATGGGGAAATTTACTGCATGAAATGATGTACTTTACTAATAAAACATGGTCCAAGTTTCTACTTTAAGAAGCTTGAAAACCAGGAGCAAATTAAGACCTCCATAAGTAAAAGGAGAAATTCATAAAAACATAGCAGAAGTCTATATAAGAAAACAAAGCACAGAGAAAATTTACAAAGCTGAAAGTTATTTCTTTCAAAACAGAACCCCAAGTGAGGCTGTTTAATAGTAGGGAGCAAATGAGTGGTATTATCACAGAATCTTAGAGATAGTACAAAGATAGTAAATACTATGAATGACTTTATGTCAATAAATGTAATTTAAAATGGGAATATTATTTGAAAAAAATACCTATCCAAACTGACACTGAAGTGGAAAATCTGCAGCTCTAATTAATAAATAGATCTTTATAGTAAAAATCCCTCCCCTCCCCCTCAAAAAAAAATCTTTGGGCCCAGATTTGGTGAATTTCATCACAAATTTAAGAAAAAAAAATATTATAATCTTACATAACTTCCACAAAACAGTAGAGGGTGAATAATTTTCTTCTTATTTGAAGAGGAAAGAATAACTTTTAATACCAAAACTTAAAAATTATAACATGAATACCACCCCAGAAATAAAAATTAAGAAAGAAAAAGGAAAAGAAAATTATAGACCAATGGTCATAGTTGTAAAGATTCTGAACAAAATATTCAGAAATTTAAAGAGGGAGAAGCATATATTCTAGCATTAAGGCTAAAAAAATTGTGAAGTAAATGATAGCTTTCTTTGTCTACTCAATTCATTCTCAACTTATATTCATTTCTTCTATTCACTGGTCTCTAGAAGTAGTCTTCATGGTCCATAGTTATTTGTAATATAATAAGTTCCATATAGAGTGAAGCAAGAAAAATGGATATGGTAGAATTATGGCGATAGCTAAAAGGGTTTGCAGTTATAACATGTTCAGAGGTTTTGAGGGCTGAGTGCTGTTTATATGCATGATTACATTTAGTATTCACAACAGATGTCTAGAATATATCCTACGTTCATCTACATAGCTGAGGAAACTGATATTCATATAAATACAATTGTCCCAGATCTCACTTTTCAAACAAACGTATTGTAGAAGTGTAACTTTCTCTAGAAGGAAACATTTTCTGTCAGAGGTAGAGCGACAGAAGGTAGACCTCTGGAGGTAGGTCCTCCAAAGAAGTCCATGCCTAATTCTCAGAACCTGTGAATATGTTACCTCACTGTGGAGAAAACACTTTGCTAATATGCTTAAGATTAAGGACCTTGAGGGGGGGAATTATCCAGGCAGACCCAATCTAATCACTCGACCCTTAAAAGTGGAAGAGGAGTGCAGAGAAGTGTACCAGAGAGGTGTAGTGAAAAGAGCACTGCTACTACCCTCCAAGATGGAAGAAGATGTTCCCAAGCCAAAGAATGTGGTGGTTCCCAGAAGGTGAAGATGGCCTTAATTAGAGCAGGATTAAGGAGACATTGGTCCAAAATTTCAAAGAACTGAGCTCTGTCGGGAACCCAGGTGAGTAGGAAAGGGATTCTCCCCCAGACCTTCAAAACATAACAAAAGTGTGCTGACACCTTGATTTTTTTCTAGTGAGGTTCATGCTACACTCCTGACCTACAAAACTACAAGACAATATGTTTGTGTTGTTTTGAGTCCCTAAAGTTGCCATCATTTGTTACAGAAGCCACAGGAAACGAATGCAGTCCTCAAATCATGTGTCATATGTCACCGTGTATTTCTTCTATATCTGGAACTTGTCCTCTTTGGCGTGAAGCACTTTTTTAATGTTGAAAGCAACTGTTTGATTATATTAGAGATCCAGGCACTTAACGTGAGAAATCAGTAGCCAGAGTGACACAACCTGCAGACATTTCCTCTTAGGTGTGGAATCTCTCCAGCCACTACCCTAATGGAGGAGCCATATAGGCCTCTTCTACTCCACAGCTCCGTCCATCCGTGTTTGCACTGGGGTAAGGGGAATGTCTGCCATTTCTTTCCCTCAGTAAATTGATATGGGGCGCCAGATGTTAGTGGCTAAACTATACTGAAAAAAGTAGAAGACAGGCAAAGGTCAGTCTCCATAAGATTTTGAGAAGGCATCCCAGGACTGACGTACAACCCAGAGCTTGTCCACAGTGATTAGATGCTAGTAAGATAATTCCTAGTCAAGCACGACTGTCTTAGGAGGCCTTAGTGCTGAACGCTTCCTGGATAAGTCAACAAATTCTAGTCGCTGAAAAGTAGGAAGAACGATCAATGTCGGTGATATTGAACTACTCTTTTTCTTACTTCTCTGGCACAGTTAGTGTTTGATTTTCAAGATTTATTTCTCTTGCTGAGTAGTGTGATTTGCTCAGAATGTGGCAGGGACATATAAGTGGATAGTGATTCCTTGAAGCTTTTTGATAGATTTTCCCCAGACACCTAAAAATGTGTATATTTCAGAGTAAAATTAATGATTTACTTCTGTTTTTATTATTTTTAAGCCAAAATAGCTGTCAAAGTGAACACAGGGGGTCAGACGTATGGGTTCTACCCTGGCTTGATGACCCGTCAGCACTTATAGGGACTGTGTTTCCTTAGTGTATTCTGATTTGATTTTCCTTTCCACAACTCCTTTCTCCCTCTGGAGCTCAGTACCTGAATGTCTGAAAAAGCAGTTTGACTCATTAATATTGTGAAGATTACATTCCTTTAATTTTTGAAACCTACCATCACAGCAGCAACCTTTCAAGACTTCGGGTAAAGCTGGAGCCCCAGGCTGATGACTTTAGAAAACAGGCTGAATAAGCATCATTTGGCTACTGGTTGGCAACAGCTTGAAAACTTCTTTCTGTTCTATTTATGTGACTAGAAAGATAGTTTTGTTTCACAATCTCTGGTTTTACTTTCTGTCCCTCTTCCCCCTTCTTCTCTAATAATCCTAGAGAAACTAAGGCACAACAGCCCTATCAGCCCCTAAATAAAAACTGCAACAGAGTGTTGGCAACATTAGGTGTGTGAAAGCAAAATCACAACATACACAACCATCTGTAGACCGATTGGCTCAACCTAAACTTTAGACAATTACTTAGTCATGCCCCAGCTTCTGGCCAGAATTAAAAAAAAAAAAATATTGAGAATTCCCCTTGATGAATTTTTAATGTAACCAAAAACCACTGCTTACCACCCATACTTCCTTCCTCTTTCAAATTTCTAAAATGCTTGCCCTTTTGTCCTCCAATTAACATCCACTTTTTACTGGATTGAATACTAAATATATGTGTACTCTCTTAATTTATCTCTCATAATTATCTACATTCTTTGCATTTTTAATAGAATTCTGAAATTTTTAATTTGCTTGGTAACTGCTATAAAATAGATTTCCGAGGAGAATCCCTTGACTAGTTATCAGGAAAGACAGCACAATGATTGTGAGAACATGTTCAGGTAACTCTAAGAAAGCAAAAGTGGTTACCTGCAAAAGTGCACTCTGATTTTTCAAAGCCTGTCACTGGGTGGTATTGCTGCGCTCCTGGTGCAGATACTGCCTCTTCCCCTTTTGTTCCTAACTGCTCCTCTGTTACTATTTAAATGGAAATTAAAGCAAAGTTAGCAAATAAAATGCCTTACAACACAACGGTCTGTTCCAGGTCAGATCTAGATTGGAGAGAGGCAACTAAGAATATGTTTTATTGGGTTTATGAATAAAGTTATTTTGACCCCAGTGAAGGAAAAGGCTTTTTTTGCATTTTATTCTATCCATATATCACATGGAAGCATGGACTAATCAGTTTTTAAATACTAGATTATTCTTAAAGCCAGTTGATAAATGACTGTGACAATTTTAGGAGGAAATGGCTATTATTTTCCTATTAATAAATCTCAAGTATAATAAACNACCTAGGTTTATTTGGATTACAATTATAGAACATTTATCACTCAAGTGCCATAAAACAACAAAGTCTTGACTGTTGAGGAATATGGAGATTAACAGGCAAGACAGACATGTATAGGCCAATGACTAAGGAAGGAAAATTGCAGGGGTGACTAACTCTGGTGTTTGTGTGTGTGTGTGTGTGCCTCAGCTGTGTCTAACTCTTTGCAACCCATGGACTGTAGACCACCAGGCTCCTCTGCCCAAGGGATTTTCCCAGCAAGAATATTACAGTGTGTTGCCATTTCCTTCTCTAGGGGATCTTCTCCACCCAGGGATCTAACCCATGTCTCCTGCATTAACAGGCTGATTCTTTACCACTGTACCACCTGGGGAACCAAATTGCTTAAGATTGCTTTTAGAAGCTTTCCAGAAATAACATAAGTGCTACTTAAATATCATCCTTCAGGAATCCACAGAGCATGAATGAGTGTTAGCTCTGCACAGTTGCTGTGCTTTGAAATATCATCCAGAGCCCTCTGTTACTGTGCTCAGTCTTGAGCTTGGTACAGACATTGGAAATGAAGTCACAGCATCAACATTAGGAAAAACGCTGTGTGCTACAAGTGCTTGTGGCGAGTTAATCATGAGTGAATAGATTTTGTTGGCATAATATGAACATAATAGGGAAGAATAAATACTAAATAGAGAAACAAATTTATGATGAATGAGAAGAAAGTTCATTTATTTAAAACTTTCAGTAAGTGACTTTTAAAATAATTATATGCCATGTTGTGCAGGATTATCCCAGCATACTGGTTATTTCCTGTTTCTCTAGGCACTTAGAGCAGCTGCATAAAGTCAGGTCACAATGGAACCATTTCTCACACAGTAGCAATAACTTACTAAAGAGTTCTTCAGAAAGAAGCAGTGGTGATGCATCTGCCAGAAGTGCTTGATAGAACCTGGGATTAGAATTCGCCCTGGAAGAAGCTGGCTCATTGTGTCATACAAACAAAATGCTTGTAATTGCATGCTTCTAAATTGAAACTCTGGCATCTGTTGGAGTATTTTTCTGATGCCAAGAAACCAAATGAAACAAAAAGTCAAGAAACTGAAGCTGAAAACCCAAGTACAGTGTAATATGCTAAGTACTAGGTTACCTTGCTTCTCCTTTGATATTTGGCTTTTGGCCTGCCACAGAATGTTGTGGTTACTTTTGCAATATTGATGTATTTGTGTAGTCCATTTATGATTTGGACTGGACTTTACCTTTTGCTTTTGGCAGATCAAGTAACTGCTTGTTTGTTACAGGTCAGCTCGATTCAGAAATTTAACTTTGCAGAACCCTGGAATCTCTTATCTTGCAGAACACCAGTAACTGAAAATTGGGAAAGGGTAACTTGAAAAACCACAAGGTGAAAAGTGTAAGAAGTGCTCATTTCCTTGCCCAAAGGAGAAGTGAGCATTTCCTTGTAGCCTTTACTCCAAGTCAGTGATACGTATTTTCCACAGTATAATCAGCTCATATTTTTAAATTAAGGGGGTGAGATGATTTACATATTCTACTTTTATCTTATCTTGTTATGAATTGTTCTCAAAATGAAGCTTAGTATAATTACAACTTAGGGTGCAAAAAGTCCAAGCCAATACTTGTTAATAAAAAGGCTAAAAAAATTGGTATTATTTGTAATGGTTGGAAAAAAGGAAATAAACAGGCATGTTTTTTCTTTTTAAATTGATAGAGACTCCCTTCACAGGAAATAAACTTCTATTTCAAATATTAAGTGTCAAGTATATGAGATGGTTAGAAAATCTTTCTATAATCAATCACTCTTCTGTATTCTAGATGAATGTCTATAAAATCCTGCAAAACTTCTGATAAAGTTTATCAGCAATTAAAGTTCAAACTCTAACCTATTACCTTCTCCAAATCTCCCCTCCCCCATTTCTGATAAATAAAAGGCACGATTATGTTCCTATTAATACAGAACAAAATCTAGGGGTCTTTGGCTCATCCTTTTTATTCATCTGTTTCTTCACCAACTCACTTTACAACATCTATACACATTCAGTCAGTCATCAAATTCATCCATTTTCTTTCCAAAATAGCCCTTACCTTGAGGTTAACTTTGACATTTGTAACAGCCTTGTATGTAGTCCTTAACATATGCATAGAATTCTACCTTTCTGTCCATCAGAGTAAGACTTCTAACTAGCAAACTCTTCTGAAATTTGTTCACAACTTGATTTTCTAATTTGTCTGTTCACTACTCTGCCTCAATGAAAGAGACCTGTTTACTCCCCTAGATTACATTCAAATCGCTTATTTCTCTGGCCTTTTTCCTGCCTTTTTCTCTACTCAAGAATAACCTTTCCCTCTGCCTGTTGAAATCTTGCACACATCTACATAATTTCCATTTAATGATTTTCTAAAGCCTACATGAAATATGAAATGCCTAAAAAATAGGCATTTTTAAAAACAATTGTTTTCAAAATTTGTCATTTTGCCAATTGTTTTGCATGTGATGTTATTCGGCAGCAATGTTTTACTTTCAAAACTGTCTTAAGCAAAACCATATACACATATGCATACAAATACACTTACATGTGTGAGTGTAATATTTATATATGTATACAATTTTATTGGAATTTATTGATTTGCTAAGTTCATATTGGTAACATTTATTTTCATAAAGTCCATAAATAAGAAGAATGATGACTAGATTTGAAACTGATGATTATGAACAACAGATAGTCTGATACTGGTTTTTGATTGATTCTTTTTGTTTTTCTTAAACTATATTATTGATATATATGAATAGCCTTAAATTACATATTTTTATGATTTATTTTGCCATTTCAGACAAATCTGTCAATCAACAGGGAAGTTAGGGAAAAATTATCCTAATATCTGCATAGAAACACATGCGGAACAGAAGTAAAATTATTTATGGACTGTGTTGTGTTAGATTTACTGTATAACATGTTCGAGTCCATTTTTTTTTAGATGGTCACTTGCTTTTAGGGTAACATTTACAGAAAAGTTAGGAAGCTTGGACAGAGCTGCCTCACACCACACCTGCAATTCCCGCCTATTATTGACATATTGGTAAGGTACATTTCTTACAATTAATAAACAAATACTGATTCACTATTATTAAATAAAGTCCCTATTTTGATTATATTTCCTTGGATTTTATGTTTTGTGCTTTTTATCAATTTTAAGAGAGTTTAGTTACATTTTAGGAATGAAATTTGAATATAATCATGGAATTATCAAAATACTCCATGGATTCTTTGGTTTCCGTGGAGCATAGCAAAAACAATGTTTTTTTCTGTTTAGTCTTGTCTGTCTATTATCTGTCATCCTCAGCCACCCTTTTTCAAATTATGTTTCTCAATAAAGAATTATGTTCTTTCTAGTTCACTAAATAAATTGCACTGTTTAATGCCTGTGCTTGTGTTGGCTTTCTGCTTGGATGATCTCTTTCTCTCTTTGTCCAGCTAGTGAATTTTTTATTAATATCCTAAAATCTAACATAAGAACCATCTACTCTATGGCTCCGTTCCTTAAAATGCCAATAATTACTCTATTTTGGTTTTAGGATCGGGCGTTTTTGTCAAATATTCAAATTTCTCTTGTATTTTGTTTTGACTTACCACTTCACTCCCTATTTGAGTAAATTTAATACACTTCCATTTCCTTTGTATAGCTATGACATACAGAATTTGAGAAAATTACACATTTAACTAAAGGAAAATCCTATAAAATCTGATAGAGCGTTTTGATGTGTGTGTATGTGTGCGCATGAGTATAGGAACTTTCCTTTTTTCTTTTTCTTTCTGGCCTACAGTTAAGTCAGTAGAAATGAGCTGAATTTAACCATTGCAACCATGAGATTTTCTAGGTGACTATTGTAAGTTTTATAGTTTAATATTACAATAAGATTTGCAATTTAGAAAAACTGGATTTGGGGGATTGATAAAATGAATACCATCAATATAATTTTTTGCAAGTACAATACAATTTAATTAGCACTTTGATCATGAGCGATAATAGTTCCTCCCACTGAAATTTAACCCTTAAGTGATGTTAATACAGCTTGGAGTAGGTCACAAAACAGAAAAAGATTATTACAGAAAAAGATGATAATTATTTTTTATAATAACAGAAACCATTTACATTTGAATAGTGTCAAACAGCTATTGGCTTCTTACATATCATTTAATGCTGAGAGAAATTTATTTATATTGGCACTAAAGACATTGCTATCTCCATTTAGAGTTGAGGAAGCTGAATGTAGAAATGATTAGGAAGCTTAGCTAAGGTTGTACAACCATTGTGTTACAGAAGAGAAGTGAAGTGAAAGTCACTTAGTCCTGTCTGACTCTTTATGACCCCATGAACTATACATTCCATGGAATTCTCCAGGCCAGAATACTGGAGTGGGTAGCCTTTCCCTTCTCCAGGGGATCTTCCCAACCTAGGGATCAAACCCAGGTTTCCCATATTGCAGGCAGATTCTTTACCAGCTGAGTCACAAGGGAAGCCATACAGAAGAGAACCAGAACTCAGATCTCTAAAGGAACCTGGGACTAACATTTTTCCCAGCAACAGATCTCATTCTATAGCTCAAGCACTTAATATTTACCAGGTGATGTGCTGGGTTTGGAGATCCACATATGAAAAGTCATGTTTCCTTACAATAAACATTCAAATTAGGAAAAAAAAAAGTGAATTCCATTTCTTTCTTTTTTCCTTCCCTGACTAATGAAGACGCTCAAGAGCTGAGTTGTGTCCAAGTGTTGGAAATAATAGGAGATAAAAAAAAAAAGAAGTAAGTTTTGGGAGGCATGAATTACAGAGGAAAGTTTCACAGAGGCTGTAATTAGATAAATACCTGAACTAAGTTGCCATGGAGATGAGAACCAGAGGCAAGTTCCACATACATTTGGCAAGAATTTTAACAAAAGTCAAGACGTGACTGGACATTGGGAATGAAGAAAAGGGGGTAGTTGAAGAAAGCTGTTCACATTATTTTTCTCCAAATAGGGAGTGATAGAGCACTACAGTGAAATGAGGGTGGAGTAACACATTAACTTTTTCAGCATAAACTTCCTTTCTTACCACAGCTCTTCATCTTTACTGATGACATTCTTGCCTAAACCTAAGCCCTGATTTCTCTACCTATATTTTTCTTTCTCTGAGTCAATATGACAATTCAGAGGCAGAATCTGTTTTCACTGGAAGCGGGAGAGTCTTCGGGGATTGTCTGCAGAAATAGGATTCTCTGTCAGTAAACTCAGGAGAACATGAACTAGTCACCAAAACCTTATAGAGGGTGAACAGTTAGGGATGAGAATAGTGCAGGACATGAAGGCAGACTAGAAAAGTTGGTTTCAGTGAACAGTGCTCAGTACCTGGGGCTGAATTACAAGTACTGAGCTCCCAACTGACCCAGCAATACGAACACCTGCTTCCAGTAGACACCGCCAATGCGGAAGCCACGGACAGTGCTATAAACAGTAGTCAGCCTGAGCTAATTCAAAGAATGAGGTAAGGGATAGAAGCACTTGGGTATACAAATAAAAGTTGTGGACTAGACGAAACCTGTGGCTATTTGGCAGTGATAAAGTGTTGCTTTTTAAGCAGACTCTGCTTGATTTAGTGTGGGGAAACAATGAACCCTGTGGTTTTTTTTACTTGATTGCCTACTCAGCTCAACCTGTCAATTTTCCTACCTGAAAGAAATCTGAGTAAAGGCCAGAAAAATATTGCTTACTCGCCTGCTGCCTTATGAAAGTTGACTCTTAAAAACTAGCAATTCTGGCAGCCTGTTCTTAACCCTTGCTTGAACAAACTCAGTATTTGTCCTTACTTTCCATCTCATCTACAAAGTTCTACCTTAAATGCCCATCTGAACCTCAGCTCCTCTGCGAAATTCTGATGACTGATTCAACCAGTGAATATTTATAAAAGCAAAACAACATCTCTTCTCATGAAAGTTTCTAAAATGTCCATCAAGAGGACTACTTTATATTTTTTGTTCACTTAACAATAAAAATAACATAGATAATCTAGGATTTGATAAAACCAAATTTCTCATTCACAAATTATAAACACTGAAAATTTTTATTCATCCAGTGGATGAAACTGGATGAAACTATTCATCCAGCATTAATAAACATTTCATCCACAAAAAGTAGTTTTTAATAGCATAAAAATATTTGAAAAATACTCTTTATTTTTAAACAAAAATACTGTTTATTTGTTAACTAGTCTATTATTTAGTTATTTTTGTGGATCAGAAACTCAGATTGCTGTAAATTTTCAATCAGGCTAAATTTTTATGACAGCCTATTTTTGTACAGTTACATACAAATTTCATATACTTTTCCATTAAAGAATAAAATATTTGGGAAAAATAGCACTAACCTTTATGGGAAAGCAGTTTGTCAAATGATTCACCCCATTTTATTGCTTCTTCAGGGGAGACTCTGTTTGAGAAACAAAATGTTTTATACTGGAACATGCAGGAAGTCTATTTATATATCTGCCACAACATATGTTATCATACTGCTCTTTTTGGTCATATTTCACAGGATTTCTCCTTTGATTATTATATAAAGATCAAAAATATTAGTCAAACTTCTTTTGGATTTTGTCTATCAGATGATGTGTTAAAATAACATTATCCTCTCTTGAATCATTTTATTTTATAACAGAAAAACTAATCATATCCTCAGTTAAAAACAAAGAAAAAGAAACCAGGTCAGTTATCTTTCTTAATTCAGCAAATAGAAGAACCTAAACTGACAGTATCTTTTAGTCAAACTTTTTTTTTAAACTGCAATTTCCTTGAAACTTTTACCACAATATGCAGCAATTTTTTAAAAAAAGCACACACAGGAAGTTTGACTAATGAAGCTTTAAAGGTGTAAGAAATACGAAATGTTTAATGCAATAAATGTTTTAGAATTGATAATTGAGAGAGTTGAATATATTTGTCTTGTATCTTTTATTGGTCATATTTTCTGTTTGGAAGAATTTGTATTATGCTAGTATATAAGCTTATTCCATTTTCTTTTTGAACTAAAGAAATGGCAAAAAATGACAAAACATCTCTTTGTGTGTTTTACTTTATATTACACCCAGGGCGTTTTTTCCGAACTACTGAAGAAAGAGATGAATAGCACTTTTCAGTGACACTGTGCACACTCTTAATGAGTATTTCATCAGTTTATAAGGAGTAAAATATATCATTTAAAATTGACAGGCATATAATTTTCAAAGAACATCTTTAAATTTTTACGAGATTATTTAATTCAAGCTATTAAAATAGTTTAATTTTATGGAATATTTCTAGTATTTTTTGAAATGAGATCTCTAACCTTCCTTATATTACTGTATAATTTCCAATAAAATAGGAATCCCTAATTTCCTCTTTCTTAAATCTTTAATGATAGAATCAGCAAAATGTCCCCACAAATAGTTACAAGTTATTCACCTTGTTTCTTTGGCCAATTGCCCAGATCTACTGGAGGGAGTATCATCATAAAACACAGGTTTCTGCACCAGAAGACTTAGCCTATTTCTTTTTTCCTTAGCTCTGTAATGAAAAGGCATTAGCTTCAGGACAATTTGGATGACAATTAAAATCTCTCTTTCTGACTGTCAAACAGATTTGTGACTGGTAATCATATGAACACCCTTTCTCATCCACCTCCACTCCTGACACACTCACAGTAGTCTTCTTGAGAGTTTTATTTAAATACTGTGTTTGTGGAGGAATTAAGATAGCATATGTGAAATATACTTGTTTCTCCCCACCCCCCCATGGCTATAAAATATTTGAGATTATATTTCAATAAGTATTATTACTGGTTCTTCTGTGTGGTTAAAAGTTTTTGGACTTAAAAAAAAGAACACTTTAGATTTAACAATTGTTTACTCCTAATAAATACTTTTTTTCAGTTGTAACAGTACAATCAATATATTTTCAACCAGATATTTTAAAAACAAGTGCTAACGAATATTCAATGTTAATCATGTTTTTAAAAGTAAAACGCTGATTTTTAAAATTATGGTTTTACCTGATTTTGGCTTCTTTGCTCATTTCTTCTTTTCCTGAACCGTGTATTAACTTGAAAATAGTTTTTTCTTTTGGTTCGCACATACTTAATTGAGAAAAGAAAACCAATGATGTTTCCATCTTCTCTCTCTAAAATGAAGAGATGTCTAATTTATTACATCTTTCACTTGTTAATGCTACTCCCTCGTTATACATGGTGGAGTAAAAAGTTATCTCGATTCTGTCAGCAACAGTTAAAAAAAAACCGAGAGCTTATGTTTCTGCCTCTGCAAAAATATAGAACTGAGGAACTAAAGAACAATTCAGTCCAGAGTTGTTTAGGGAAATGATACTACAAATTTGCAAAAGGCCTCTTGGTCTCCAAGATAAAGACGAGTATTACCACAGTGCCACTTCTCTTTCTAGTTTGTGCAACTAGATGATGCTTTAATAGACTCAAACGATACTGTCATTTCCCACAGGAAGTTTTTGAAAAGGACTTTAATGTGTGTAGTATGCGTTAAAGTGTATCGGGGCAAAGTCCTGCACTAATCATTAGGAGATATTTCCCTTGTTCTTAAAAAAGTATTTTTCCTTATTTAATTACATTGAATTAGGTAAATGACATTTAATGACATTTCATGTAATATTAATCACATTTACTTAACATAATGTATCAAAATAAGAACATAAATAATAGAGTTTCATAGTAGAAGAGGGCAGTTAAGAAGCATTTAATTCAATGATTTTTAAAACAGGTCCATGGAATGATTTTAGACGTTCATAAAATTTTTACCAGTCCATGATGAAAATGGGAAAAAAAGATAATATGCAATTTTTTCTTGAACTATATATATTTTTAATGTGAAGCACTATTTTGAATTTTCCCTTTTTTATTGTTAAAAGGTCTTTAATTAAATATTTTAACTAGAGATGGCAGTGTGTATGATTGTTTATGTTCTTACTAAAAAAGAAATGGCAACTGTATGTTTGCTCAGCCTCCATTTTCTTTTGTTTTATGAATCCCAAATACCTAAAAAATGCTAATGTAGACCATAACTCCCATTAAAAAAAAAAAACCCAAAACAAGGATGTAATATAGTAAATGATTTATTCTTATAAAGTCCCAGAGGTTAGTAGAAAAGGAGATCTGGAATTATCAGAGCCTTTGATCTCCAGTAGCTTGTGCGTTAGTCTTTCCAAATCTTTGATCTGCAGTTGTGAATGCTTTAATTCCTCTAAAATTCTATATATTAAAAAAAGTTAGCAAATCTAAAAGAAAATTTATTTCCAAACTTTTGAGTGACTGATTTTAAGAAAATAGTTATTCTTAGGGATTCACAGGGATTCCTCTTAGGGATATCAACTAGGAACTAAAAACATTTGCAGAATTGAAATTAAAGAGTTTTTATTATATATTTATATATATGCTCCTGATTCTATAACTTTTACTTTGAACATACTTTTAAGTTCATGTTGACTGAAAATTGAGTGTTAAAATATTACACATGAGGGAATTTTATATGGCAAGTCTAGCTGGAAACAGATGTTGATAATGCAGGTATACTGTCATCATGAAGTCTTCTGTTCTCTAGGTGAATGAGGTCAAGGGCAGATGAGCAAAGCGATCTTCTAGTCCCTAAGACTGCATTTGAATTACTATATCCAGAGGAGTGAGAGACAGGAATTTACTATTTTCATAAGATTTGCTGAAGTTGTGTGTCAGATGTGCTCTTCATGGGCTGATAGAACCATGGAGGCAGAGATTGTAAAAAACAGACACAAGTTAATTACATCAAAGGCCTGTTCAAAGATCCAAAGAGAATTGGGAGATGTATGGACTTCCTCTGTGTGTATACAGACAGGTGGAAGCAGAAGAAAAGAAGGGTGGATGCTACATGATGCCCTGAGCTGATAATCAATCATTCTTTGGGGGTGCAGTTATCCTTTAGCTTGAAGAGTATTTTCAAAAGGTAGAGTCCTAGGTTGACTGTTGGTTTTCTTTTTAATTTTGTTAAATTTCAGCACTTTAAGATGTCGCATTTTTGTCCCCTGGTATCCATTATCCCTGATGAGAAGTCAGTGGTAATTTGTATCACATTTGTTACTCTCTGTGTCTTTTTTCTCTATGACTTCTTTCCAGATTATTTTTTTTTTTAGTCTCTGATTTTTAAAAATTTGAATAAGATGTGAAGATGTTCATTCATTCTATTTGGGATGAATTTAGCTTCTTGGATGTATGGGTTTATACTTTTCATCAAAACTAGAAACTTTTAGGCTTCAATTCTCCTTTTTCTCTATCTTCCACTTTCAGAAACCCAAATTGCAGCTGTGCTTGACCTCTTGACATTGTCCACCTGGTCACTTAGGAACTATTCCTTTTTTTCAGCCTCATTTCTTTCTGTTCCTCAGATATTTTTTCATTGCTAGGTCTTGATAGAAATTTTCACCAGTCTTTTCTTCCTCAGTGCCTAATCTGTTGTTAGGTTTATTCAGTAATGTTTAAAATTTCAGTTCAAGAAATTTGATTTTTTTACAGTTTGCATTTTTCTCTTCATTATGCTCTTTTTCTTCTAAGTACTTGAACATATTTAAAATATACCTGAGTTGAAGTCCTTTTCTGAAAATTTGTCTCTGTGGTTCTGGGTCTGATTTTATACTGATTTTTCTCCTAAAAGCATATTTCCCCACTCCTTCAGATGTTGAATAACTATTTATTGATGTTGAAGATTTTGAATTTTACGATAAGTACCAGGACTTTGTTAGTCTTTATTTAATGATGTTAGAGTTGGTGTTGGTCTGGCAGTTACCTCAGTATCAAGTTTGTCCTTAAAGACTTTTATTTAAACTTTGTTATGGCAAGCCTAGAATAGCCTTAATTACTAAGATACAAGGATTCTTAAGTTTCAAATGAATTCTCAGGGTGTTCATTAAAGCTTTTCTATTCTGGATGTTAAGTACTCGAATGTCCCTTAGCCCTGTGTGAGCTCTGAAAATTAACTTATATCTTATGATTGGTATCCTTTGTCAATACCATGGTGTTTTATCCTGCATGGAAGCTGCTTGGTGTTCAGCCAGGATCAAAGGTACACTCCTACAAACTTCTTGAGATCTTTCTAATACTTTGTCTTGCAAATTTCACCTCTCTTTCTCTCACTGAATGTATGTAGATCACTATTTCCTCAATTCAAAAATAGTACTTTTTGCTCTATTTAAGGAATACCCCTGTAAACTTGGTCTCTAAATGAGACTTACATTTTTTCCCTGCACTGAAATCTTTAAAGAAGGCAGTTGAAGTGGTGTGGTCCACTTCATCTGTTTTCTGTTAAAAATCACATATCTATGTTGCCTATTGTCAGTGTCTGAAAACAGTTGTATTATATATTTTTCCAGTCTTCAAGTTGTTTATGGTAAGACATATGTTATATCAGTTAATCTATCATGATTAAGGCCATCTTTGTGATAAATGTATGTCTGTTTCTTGTTGTTTAGTTGCTAAGTTGTGTCTGACTCTTTGGAACCCCATGGACTGTAGCCCCCCAGGCTCTTCTGTCCATGAGATTTCCCAGGCAAGAATACTGGAGTGGGTTGCCATTTCCTTCTCCAGGGGATCTTCCTGACCCAGGGTTTTTTTTTATTTACCATTCTTTGTGTCCTTGAGAAGAAGAATTTTTACTGCAGAATAAGGGACACACAGATGCTATAGGAAGAGTTTAATTAAAATCTCCTTAGTCTTGAAGTCTGATTTTATCAGTATAAGTTTAGGAAGTTGTTACTCGGTTGGTTATTCTCTCTAGTCCTTTACGTTGCATGGAGTTGGGTTATATATTTTTCCTACCTATAAATATTTCCTACCTCTTTATAGTGTAAAGACCTAGATACAATGACTAATGCTTTAGTAAAGGGACTCAGATTGTGATCTTAAAATGTCACTTCTCACTAAAAGCAATCTAGGTTTAGTGGAGACATTGCTGAGGCCTGAGACAGGAGATGTACAAGCTGAGCCTGGCAAATCTTGTTATTATCAATTAGAAAGTTAGCTGTCAAAGGCTAGTGGAGTCAATCAAAATTATTCAAGGGCCAACTTTGCTAGTCTTCTACTAACCAAAATGAGACCACTTCAATTTCAATAATATTAATAACTAGAGTGGATGAAATAGATAAAACTTATTTACATCTATGGGTGCATGGTGATATTTTAAAAGAATTGTCTACTTTCAGAGGATTATAGGAATTAAATTGAAAACTGGTTAATAAAGGGAGAAATTAAGCAGTTATCCTACATTTCTTATTAACTCTACCAGGGGTAATCAGACAGTCAGTGAGAGGAAGTATTTCTTTATTAAAAAATTCTAACAAACAAGTAAAAGTGAAATAATACCATTAAAATCTCAGTTTTTAAAAACATCAACAAATGATTAGATAAGGTGTTAAATTACAGGATTAGAATTTTAGGATTCTAATTAGGATCTTAGAAAGAGACAAGCAGACATGTGCTTCCAATAGCTGTGACATCTACTTAGAGTAGAGATCAGATCTGAGTTTGACCCAGTCTCTGGACCCAGTTGCCAACCTGCAGGCATGACAGCTAAACTCTAAGGAAAAGAAAGAACCTGAAATAAAGGGGTGGAGGTGGGGGTAGAACTGCCTCTTTCATTCAACCATATACCAAATGAAAAATGCAAAGCCGAATATGTCTTCTCAAATAAAGGACTAATTGCCCAATTAGTTCTACCTGAAAGTCTGTTTGATGTTATCTAGGAGACACCCATGTTTTACTACCAATCAGGTACTACAAAATCAAATACTAGCCATTTTGAGAGTAAACTGTATCACAGCATGAGGTAAGGACACTCTGAAAGAACTTACTTTCCCCAAGACTAACCAAGTCTCCCTTTCCATAATTCTCCCTGAACTGCTCTCAATCAGAGTAGCTGGGTTATTTTTCAACCCAGCAACACAGTATGACTACTGGCTCACACTAGTTTTTCCAAAATTCTATCTTTTTATCCTCATTTGAAAATCAAAACATTATTACTGCTACTTATAATCATTAAACAAAATTAAGCTGAAAACAAATTCCTTGACTGCCTCTAATGCAAAAGGGAAAAATTACAAACATTGCTAACATATCCACAGTAGAAAATATTACATTGGGTTTATTGGGGAAACACAGACAGGAAAGCAGCAAAGCACACAAGATTTTAACATTTGTTATTCCACATAAGAGGATGCCTGCCATGGGATTCTGCCCGCAGTGCAGGAGCCACAGGAGACACGGGTTTGATTCCTGGGTCAGGAAGATCCCCTGGAGAAGGAAA